CCCGTGTTTTTTTTTTTTTGCCTTTGCGCGTCATCAGGAAGATTTTAAAAAAAGGAAAAAAAAAGTTTTGTAAGTTAGAGATTTTGTGTTGTATGTAATGTTGTTGTTGGTTTTTTTTTTGGTATCATCCTAGAACCTTTTTACACGCATTCCATTTTTATTTTTATTTTGTATTGTTATTGTCTTTCTTTCGGGGGAAATCGGGGTGCCTAAGAACCACAATTCTCTTTGCAATTTTGTTTTATTCAATTGTGTTGTTGTTATTTTTTTAAAAAAATGGGGAAAAGGCTTGATTGCAACCTGCTATGGATGGAGAATCCTCACACTGTTTCTGCCCTACAGGAAAGGGTGTGTGTGCGTGTGTGTGCGTGTGTGTGTGTGTGTGTGTTGGATGCAGACCCTCTCCCCCCTCCTCCCCGAGGGAGGGGAAGGGAAGGGAGAGAGAAAGGAAAGAGGGGAGGGGCGGGTGGGGGCTTGACTTGACTTCAAAGAGTCCTAGATTTCAAATTTTATTTTATTTGTGTCACTTCAACCACCGCAATCCACAGGTTGTTCATGACTTGTAAGACGAAGTATTAATTTGACAAAAAAATAAGACAAAACACAAACCACCAATAATTATAACCACTCTTTTGTCAATGCCAGTGTAAATAAACCACGTTATAAAAGCTACATTAAATGTTCCTCGCGTTGGAGGTGGTCATTTTATTTGGGGGGGGGAGAATTGGGGGGTGGGTGGGCACATTGGGGTTTTCATTGGGGGAGGGGAGATTGAGGATTTGGGGAGGGGGGGAAAGTCCTCTCTACAGGTTCTCCTCGTCTTAACAACAGTTCACTTAGGGACCATTTCCGGTTACAACGGCACAGAAAAAAAATGTGACTTAGGGGCGTTTTTCAGTCTTACAACCGTGGCGGCATCTTCCGTGGCCAGGTGATCAAAACTCAAGAGGCTTGGAAACCGGCCTGTCCTTAGGACGGTTGTAGCGTCATTGCTGCTGTTCAGTTAGTAACACGGTCGTTAAGTGAACCTGGCTTCCCCGTTGTCTGAAATGGTCTAGGGCAGGGGGGGGGTCTCCAAACTTGGCCAACTTTTAAGACTTTGTGGACTTCAACTCCCAGAATTCTCCCCGGCCAGCAGGGCTGACTCTCTTGTAATCCCTTCCTCTGCAATCTCTCTCTCCACTTTAGGAGATTTTAAGAGAGAGAAAAAAAAACAGGCATGACTGGCTGGGGAATTCTGGGAGTTGAAGTCCACAAGTCTTAAAAGTGGCCAAGTTTGAAGGCCTCTGGTTTAGGGCCTCCTTGGGTGGGTGGGAGGTTGGACTAGATGACCTCCAAGGTCCCTTCCAGCTATGATACTGTGTATCCTCCGTGATGAGTTTCCATCCACTGTTTCTTGTCCTGCCTTCAGGGGCTTTGGAGAATATCTTGACTCCCTCTTCTTTGGGGCAGCCCCTCAAATACTGGATGACTCCTATCCTGTCTCCCTTGGTCCTTTTTTTTCGTTAAAATCAAATTAAAGTTGGAAGGGACCTTGTAGATCATCTGGTCCAATCCCCCCCCCCCCCCCACCCTCATATATTGGAAGGCTGCTATCCTGTCTCCCCTGGTCCTTTTGTTCATTAAAATCAGATTAAAGTCAGATTAACAGAGTTGGAAGGGACCTTGTAGATCATCTAGTCCAACCCGCTGCCCAAGCGGGAGACCCTACACCGTTTCTGACAAATGACAGTCCAATCTCTTCTTGAAGGTCTCAAGTGATAAAGCTTCCACGACCACTGAAGGCAAGTCGTTGCGGTGAATATAGAATAACAAGAGTTGGAAGGGACCTTGTAGGTCATCTAGTCCAACCCCCCCCACCCTCATATATTGGAAGGCTGCTATCCTGTCTCCCCTGGTCCTTTTGTTCATTAAAATCAGATTAAAGTCAGATTAACAGAGTTGGAAGGGACCTTGTAGGTCATCTAGTCCAACTCCCACACCCTCATATATTGGAAAGCTGCTATCCTGTCTCCTCTGGTCCTTTTGTTCATTAAAATCTGATTAAAGTCAGATTAACAGAGTTAGAAGGGACTCAGGAAACAACAACTGAATGGAAAAACTGCTGGTGACCTTCTACCGCTGCACCATAGAGAGTATCTTAATTTACTCCATCTGTGTATGGCTTGCACAGGGGCCGATAGGAAAGCACTCCAGAGGGTTAACATCATTGCCCAGAGGATCACTGGCTGCCCTCTCCCCTCTTTGGAAGAGCTTTATAGCTCCCGCTGCCTTAAGAAAGTTCAAAATATTCTCAAAGATCCATCTCATCCTGGGAACCCTTTTTTAAAAACTATTATCATCTGGCAGACGGTACAGGATAATAATAAAAACAAGGACAAACAGACTGGAAAAACAGCTTCTATCCCAGGGCGGGAGCTTTTTTGAATTCTACTGTATAATGCAATATTAATGCAATATCAGGGGTTTGCAATTCAATTGTATAGAATGCAAAGGAGACGTGTTTTGTGTTTATTTTCATAGTCACAATGTACACTGAAGTTGGTATTTAATTTCATTGTACGAGGTGCAATGACCATAAAGTAAACTAAAACCTGTAGATCATCTAGTCCAACACACACACACACCCGCCCTCAAATATTGGAAGACTCCTGTCCCTCTTGGTCCTGTTCATTAAACTAGACTTATCTTATTCCTGCTACCATTCTTGCTATGTTTCAGCCATGTTTTCTGGTCCTTTCAAAGGATCAACAACCGCCAACTTCTTATTGAAGTTCTACCAACGGCCACGAATGCTTGGCCTTCCACCTTCATCTTGGTTATATGTCTTGCAAGGATTGTCTTCTCTTCTGTCCCCCTAATGAAGGCCACAGCTTTCTCCAGCTTCAGCGTGCTGCTCTGTGTGGGGGACTCAAAAAAAATGACCCCACGAAAACCTGTAATTTAGCTGCAACTGGGGTTCTTCAAGAAGCCAGCTGAGTTCACGCAACCGGCTGTCAGGATTCCAAAGATCGCCCGAATTAAATCATGAATCAATCGGGAAGCCAAACTTCAAAAAACTTCAAAGGATTTATTAGAAGTGACATACTGGCACGACCTGTATGAAGTCAACTGGCATACAGTCCCCTGTGACTTTTTGTTTCCTCCTTCCCCCCTGGGTGTGCCATAAATCACATTCTCCAATTGAGTCGTTCACCAGGCTGGGTGTCATCCATCACGTTCTCCAATTAAATATATTCTCGGGCAAAAGCTCCGGTAGCTTAGTTAGAATCTTTTACAGATAAAAGAGTTGCAATGTACTTCCAATTTCTAACGGCTGCCCTACTCTTCCTGATATCCTTTCTCCGCCCGGGCCCCCAATTTTTATTTTTTAATGGCAGCTACTAAAACCGGCATAGGAATGCTCTATGAGTCGACACCTCCTTGTCTTCCTTGATCTTAGATGTCCTCAATGTCCTGCTGGACCTGAAGGAGCTTGGTGAGAACTGGGCCTGGGCACCATCCATTCTCTAAGCTCCAGAAGGTTCTGAACTCGTGGAAGTTTGACCCACAATCGATCCCTTGAGTTGGTGTCAGTTTGGACGATTCTTTTGGTGGGTCCTTTTTGCACGATCCATGTGATGATAATCACAAAAAAACAGCCAGAGATATGTGAACAATATAGAAGAGCTTTATTATGAAGCTTTTGCAAAAGGGAATTCTGCTCATGGGCAGAAGGCCTGGTTCCCAGGAAGGCTGGGGTTTATATACAGGTTCAAATATACAGTCTCTGCTCTTTTCCTGGGTTCATAATCTATCCAGGCTATGTATCTTCCCTATGCCACACTCATGGCGTAACACCTGTTTCCTTGTCTTTGGAAACTACCCTTGTTCTCATTGCTCTGTCTTCCTCTTATGTCGATTGAAGCACAATGGATCATTAACCAGTTCTGTTCGGGTCACTATGACCCAGTATCTCCCACCCTAACGCCAAGAAATACAACCCCATGTTCCAGCCAAAAACCTGACATTTATTTTCAAAACATAACAAGTTACAAAACATAGTATGTTTGTTAGATACAGTTATACAACTGTCCAGTAATCATTTCATAGTTCAAATATCGGATAAACATGGGGAATCTTCTGTTCTCCATTTTCTCAGGTGTAACTTACAATATATACAGTATAATTTCCACATTAACAGTCCACAAAAGAGCCATTGGGTTATTTGGTTTGGGCCAGATTTGAGTGAACTCCTACGCAGTTTCCGTGCTTCTAAGACCAGCGAGGACAGTGGAACGCCTTCCAGAAGTTGTGGGCACTCCCATCACTGGAGGTCATTAAGCAGGGTCTGGAACAGTCCCTTGTGTGAAATGGTAGAGGATCTCGTGCTTGAGCAGGGGCCTGGACTAGATGACCTCCAAGGCCCCTTCCCACTTCTATTCCTATTCTATTATTTATTAAATTCTTATCTCATCCCATCCTATATTCCTATTTTAAAATTTGATTCTATTTTAAATATGAGTTGGTTCCCAAGCGGTTGAATTTTGATCATGTGATGAGGAGGATGCTACGACGGTTGTAAGTGTGAAAAATGACCGTACATCATTTTTGTGTGTGCGCGCCATTGTAACATCAAACGGACAGCATTTGTCTGAACCCAAACTTGGCAACTTTAAGACTTGTGGACTTCAACTCCCAGAATTCCTCCTCCAACTATTTCTTTCCTCCTGCCCCCCAGCGTGGAGAGACTACAGCGAAAGGGATGACAAGAGAGCAAACAAGCCAGAATGGGAATACGTGTAAAAAAAAAAAAAGAATGCCTTCATGTCCGGGAATTCTGGGAGTTGAAGTCCACCAGTCTTAAAAGTTGCCAAGTTTGGAGACCTCTGGACTCGGAACGGTAGAGGGTTTCCCTGAGGAGGGTTGGACTAGAAGACCTCAGAGGACCCCTTCCAACTCGGCCATTTTGTCACCCCTGTTAAGGCCGCCTCCTTTTAACTGTCTGGGTGTTCCGTTCCCAGCTCCATGGAGCACATCCCGTTTAGTGCATCCCACGGATTTTCCCAGAGCCGTAATTTGCATCGAGGGATGAACGGGAGATTACACATCAAAGTGGTAGAATTGGCCTGGAGCAACGGTTGACGTGGAGACTGATTGACGTAAGTTACAAAGTGTAGAAGCGGGTCTCCGGTAGAGAGTAGCCTTTAAGGGGCTCCTGGATGGGAAGTTGTGTGCCCAGCCTGATTTCACTGAAGGGAGGAAGGCTAAACACTC